TGGATTGGTGGAGGAGGTTGGTGTGACTAGGAATGGATTCAGAATTATCACTATGATGATGTGAACGTATGTTTAAGAGTGCAAACCTCTATAAATTTTAATTATTTAAGATTTTGCTACTATAATATATGATATTTTTAAAATTTTTGAGAGTGTGGTTGCCCCCACCCACACCCCCGTAGATTCATCCTTGGTGGCTATGGAGGTCAACAGAGACATAAATGGCAGACTCAATAGAGAAGACATAGCACAAGTAATAAGGAAAGTTGGGAAGGAGAAAACTGGGGAGGGATTTAAGAATTAAAGCTAGAGAATTTAGTGAGAAGATAAGAATGAAAAGAGAAGAAGAGATAGATGAGGTGGTTGAAGAGTTATTTCAACTTTTTGTAAATTGAAATATTTGGGCAATTAAAAGAGTTTTATAGATGCTTTGATTTGGTTTTGTTACTCTTCATACTTATTTTTTGAATTTGTTTTCATTTCTATTTGTATGAAGCCAAGGTATTTGTTGTAATACCCCTTAGTTTGGTGCGCTTTTGAAGTAGTTGATGGGTTTTGTTTGTCAAGATGACAAATTGGTTATACTATTTGTTCCTTTATTATTATTATTATTATTATTATTATTATTATTATTATTATTATTATTATTATTATTATTATTATTATTATTATTTCTATTGATTCATATATGTTAATACAACAATGATTAGTACAAATCTCAAAATTGGAAAGAGAAATTTCAACAAATATATGACAAATAATATCTTAACATAAGTAGAGAGATTCAAATCATTAACCTCCTAATAAAATACAAAAATTATGACTAAACAGGTCTTTATTATTATTGGTAAAAGTTTATTTCATTTTATTCGATTATACAAACTCATCATTGATTTGCGAATTGCTCACAATTTTTGTTATTGTAATTCCAGCAATTCTCACTACAGGAAAAATGGGGTATTACAACGGTTCTTTTATGGAGTTTATGAAAACGCCACTATAAATTAACGAAACACAACGTTTTGAAAAATGTTGTCTCTGATCTCAGTGAAACAGAGCCGTATTGGGTCAATTTATTGATCGTCCAAACCTCCGTTTCTTTCAACTCAGTTTCTCTCTTTCTCGATCTCTACCACAACTCAATCTCCCTCTCTTTCAAAACCCTCGATTTGAAGCTCTCATTCTTAACCCTCAATTTAAAGCTCACTCTCTTTCGCTCAATTTCAAACACACACACTCTCGCTCGCTTACTCAATTGCAAACACATACACTCTCATTCCCAACCCTCAATTTGCTCGATTGCAGATTCTAAAACCCTCGATTAGTTTCTCACTCTCACACACCATGGTTTGCGCTTCATCAATCTGTGTCACTCCCAATTGAACTCTTTAGTTGTTCTTCATCGATCTCTGTCGCTCGAGGGCTTTGCTCTAACTGTTCTTCATTAAACTCAAACTCAATTTGTTCTTTATCCAATTGATCCATTCTTCATCAAAATCGATTTGTTCTTCATCAAATCGCAAATCCAAAATCCAAAATCGATCTTTTCTAGTTGATCTCTCTTGCTCTTATATCAGGTACATTTTTCATTCTCTACTTTCTCATTGTTAAATCTGCTGATTAACTCTATAATTTTTTCATTCTTTAGTTTAAAAAAAAAAAACTAGTTTATATAATTTGTGATGATCCTGCTGTTCTAGTTCTTTAGATTATTTATGATTTTAGCATTGCAATCTGTTTAGGGGGAAAACTAGTTAATATTCACTTGATCCCTGTCTTGAATTGGATGTTGTGTTTCATTGCTTACTCAACGACTTCTCTTCTGAATATTTTGCTAGGATGATTCTCCAAGGAATCCACCATGGATACAATGTTGTATACTATTTCATTTTTCTAACCAGGTTGGTACTGACCTTGTTCTAAAGTAGGCAATGCTACCAAGTTGTGTAGGCTTTTGTTAGTGTAGTCAATTTGTATGTATGTTGTGGTCACTAACTGGGGTTTTGAAAAGGTTTCGACACAGAACAGGTCAATGTATATTTTGTATCTATGATGGTCACAGTTGGATTTTGAATAGACCTAGAACAGTAGTATAGCTTAGTGGATATATGTTTTGAAAAGTGTCTATGAAGTTCCAATGGGTGTTAAGTGATGCCTACCACTATTAAGGAGCTTTTTGCATCTTGGGACAGAGGCTGCCTAGAGGGATTATATAAGAAGGCTTTGGGAGGCTACTCCATTATGCAAGTTTTGTTGTCCTTTGTGGAAAGACAGGATTAAAAAAATTTAATGTGAGAAATGGCTTATTCTTAAAAGGAATGATGCTTATTTTCATTTTTGAAAAGTGTCTACGAAGTTCCAGTGGGTGTTAAGTGATGCCTACCACTATTAAGGAGCTTTTTGCATCTTGGGACAGAGGCTGCCTAGAGGGATTATATAAGAAGGCTTTGGGAGGCTACTCCATTATGCAAGTTTTGTTGTCCTTTATGGAAAGACAGGATTAAAAAAATTTAATGTGAGAAATGGCTTATTCTTAAAAGGAATGATGCTTATTTTCACATATATATATATATATATATACATGTGGATTTGGATTTGGAAATTTTCCTTTCTCTTTTTCTTCTTTTCTATTGTTTTTGGGAGTATTGTATATTCTTATAGAGATGTAGAAGTTTTGACTCTCCAATAATATGATGGATTATATTTATACTAGGGGAACAAAAATTGGGAAGAGTAGGAAACACGGTGTTTGGTGTTGTTTTTTTTTTTATGTGTATAATATGGGGGGAACACAATAGGAGAACTTTCGAGGGGATTAAATTTATAATTAAGTTAAGGAGTATGATTTTATCTCTTTTGTACAGTTGGCTCTTGGGTGGAGTAGATCCTTCCTTGAACAAAGTTTTGGATTTTGTAGTATCCTTTGACTAAAGTTTGAGGTACAATCGGCATAGATCTTTATCTTTATCTTTTTCTCCTTTTGTATACAGGTTGTACCCCATTGGTGTGTGCCTCTTCCATAAAAATGCTTGCTTACCAAAAAAAGGTTTTCACTTTGATATAAACATTTGAGTATATCCCCATTTTAGGTATCTCTTAATAAATTTCTACTTACCAAAAAAGAAAACTGAGGTGAAGTTAGCATAATTTTATGTGAATTTTGTGTAAATGATTTAGATAAGATAAACGCATTCAATAATGTTTACATAGTTTCGCTACATGTACTTAACTTCTTTCGTTTCATCGTTTAGTGGATGTACAAATTTTGGATGTAGAAAGTTGGTTGTATGTATGTGGTTTTCTACTCTTTGAAATTATATGTTTTTTCTCTATCAGAAAAGATATCCATGTTCCCTTGTCCGCATTGCTTGCTTAATTGATGTGATCCTTTCATTTGGTCCTTTATACACTATTAAAAGATATACTTTCAAATTCTATACATGTTACAAGCTGAGTCGTGCTTAATACTTGTGTTAGTAGTTTTTTTAATCCAATCCATTGTACATTTTCCCTATATTATCATGAGGTGTAAAAAATAGTTATATTGTTGAGCTTTTGGTAGCTTTTTGTCCCCTTTTATATCTAATAACATTCTATGTGGGGAAAGCCAATTTTCATATTCATTTGATTCTTTATCTCTTGGGAAAATGGCATGTTGAATTGAGTTGTTATTTGCATTTGTGTATGAGTAGGATACTAATTGCATACTCCATATTCCATATTCCTCTATGTGTTAGCCATTGTAACTCCATTAAAAAAATATGGAGTATTAAAAAATTCATTTTAAGTAAGAATCTTGTAGAATCTTCATTAGAGATACCTAGTCATCTTGATGAAGCTCTATATCATAATCTATCAGGAGCATTGTAGAAACTTTTAGTTTCTTCATTAATATGCTTTATGCTAGAAATGCTTCTAGTATGCTTGATAGTTCTGATTCAGGTTGCACCATCGGGATGCAAAAATCATGACAGTTGTTAATTTAGTAAGTAATTATCCATGCATGCATAAATAGTCGTAGACCCGTCCAAGAATCTTCATTAGAGATACCTAGTCATCTTTGATAAGGCTCTTCTTGGATTGTCCAGTTTGGACAGTTCAGGAGCGCAAGTCTATGTTGTAATTAGTAGTTTTACCGTTTAAATGTAGTCAATCTCGTAGAGATTTTGTGTAGTAGCTTCTCATGTTGTCTGAGCGCATACTAGACAAGGTGTAGAAATTGTGATGACCCTACCACATGTAGTAATTAGCGTTTAATTAATTAAGGAGATTGAATTTTAATTGCCCATTATTCTAATTTAATTTTGGGTCTACAAGAATTACTTAGTCTGAGGATTTATTTTGAAATTAGAAATTGAAAGCCTAAATGGCTCGAGAGAGTATAATTGGTGAATTGAATTATTTTAATTTCGAGTATCGGACCATATAGCAGTTTAATTAAATATTCGATTCAAATTTGTAAAGTTGAGATTTGATTAATTGGGTCCGAATTGGAGTTAATTGAGTTATGAGAATTGAGAATTAAGATTATTATGAATTAAATTTATTTATTCAATTGAGTATGTAATTTATTGACGAAGATTTCGGGTTTGATCTAAAATTGAAGGCTTTAATGATTGAAGAAACCAAAATTGAGAATGGAAATAAGTTTAATTTAATATTTGGAGCCTTTGGGGAGTTTGATTAAAAATTTGATTCAGAATAATAAATTTAATTATAATTAATTGGACTCTATTGGATGTCAAATTAGATGAATTAAATTATGTGAGATTGTAATTAGTTATGATTAATTTAATTATGTGTTAATCAAGATTTATTAAGAATAAGTGTTATTTAATTAAATTAATCTTAGCCATAAGTTAAATTGTAGAATGATTTAGAATTTGGGGATATATGTGAGTGTGTGTGTTGAGAAGTGTGTGTGCAGAAAAATCTGTGTGTGTGCACGTGTGCCTGTGTGGGTCAAGAGATGAAAGTGTGTATATGTGTAATATGTTGAGGGATGGCCTCCAATTCCTTTGCTGGAAGAAAGAAGAAAAAGGAAAGGGGGAGAGAGAGAGAGAGGGGTAGAGGTGCTGGAAAAATGCAACTAAAGAGCCCAGGTATGGAAGAAGAACAGGAAGACTAAAGAAAAATCACTTCTAATTTCTGGATTTGAAGTCTTAGGTAAGAATTCTAAGCCTAAATTTTGTAGATAATCCTCCATGCTTCATGAATTAAGAAAGTTATGGAATTAATCTGATGGATTTTGTAAGAAATGAGGTTTTAAGCAAGAAATAAAGTTAGATTCATAGTTATGGAAATTAATTTAGAAAATTAATTGTTTTCTCGCTTGATTTTGTAGTATTTTCTTATAATACTTGAGATTGAGAAGGATTTGAGATTCTATTCATGGAATTAGAAGGAAATTGGGTTCTAAATATGAAATGGGTTACATGCATGTTTATGGTTATGGAAATAATTGTAAAAATTCTTCAAATTGAGCTTGGGTTTGGAAACCTTGATATATATGAGATGTATATTTGTATGCACCATGAGTTTTGAAAGGATTTGAACCATACAAGTTTATTATGCATTTGATTTTGAAGAAAAAAAAGTTTTGGAAACATTGAGTTCATGAAAAGGGTTTAATCATAGAGTTAAATGAGGTTTTGAGTTTTGTTTTGAAACCAAAAAATTTGTTCGATTTTAATCCCTAATCCATGCATGTAATGTAATTTAAGAGTTTTATTTAATTTAAACATGTTTTGGAATATATTAAATTGGTTACTTTTATTTGAATTACATATATGCAATGTTTGCTAGGAAAATTAACAAGAAAATGAAGAATTGGAGCTAAGATCAAGTTTATGAAGTTTAATTAGAAATTAATTATTTTGGATTTGATTTTGGAAGTTGTAATTAAATTAAGCTCCATAAATTATATGCAATTTTATTGTGCATTTGATTTTGAAAATGAATTTTAGAACCATGAGTTCATGAGTTTTGATTTACATATTGTGTTTCAAGATTTTGAACAAATAATTTATAAATAAATAAGTGTTTATGTTTTCTAAAGTGTTTTCAAAGTTTTGATTAAGATTAGTATGGGTTTAAAGATTGAAATTGCACTGGGAAGCTATTTTTGAGAAATTTAGAATTTTGGAATGTTACAGACCGCTCGGGTAGACTAATTGCAACTCGAGCGCACTGTAACGCCCCAATTTTTCTAGCCCAAATGATAATACAACAATCATGGCTCTTTCAAAGAAAACCGAATATAAATCTCCAAATTTACATTACATGATACAATAGTTCTTCATGCAACAATACATTAATCCAACAACAAGTAAATAAACAAATAAATACCCCCAAGGGTTTACAAGTTTCCAAAGCTTGAGCCTGGTTACACAAAACGGTTATTCAAACCCACACACATACAGCCCTTGGCTTACACACAGAGTCATAGCAAAATGAGAGTCTCGTACTCTCAACACACATTTCCTCGCCTTTAGTTAGGCGGCATCACCATATCTTTTCCTGCACAAAAATCCCGTAAGGTGAGCATAAAGCTCAGTAGGAAATCCTTAACAAAGTATATACATTTTATACAAGTCTCAAGAGATGGAATGTACATGCCATGCTATGCCCTTTTTGAAGATAAATTACATTTTCATCTTTTGAAAACCATCATACCCAATGATGTCATGCAATTTCAATTGTTCAAAACTTAATAATTTATTTCAAGGGTGGAAAATACGACTCTGGTAATTCCTAGGTCAATTTCTGCAAGTAGGCTATACAAGTACTACCAATTTGTCATTTTACCGGTATTAACCGGAAGGCTTGACACCTATCCGCACGGATTTTCGGTCTTTCACCCCAGACTCTCAAGCCAACTTATTCAATATCATCTACACCACCTGTCAAGACTTACCAACATATTTACCCCAAAACCATTCCATGAAAACTTGTTTCTCAACATTCTTTTCTCAATGCAAGTTTTCAAATCAACTTTCAAAATTTAATATAATCAAATGAATTGATATGCCAATAACACAAGACAAATATAAATATTGTTATTTCAATTCATCATCCAAGGAATAACACAATTTCCTCTTCTCAAGTATCCTCAACAATTAGTTATTTCAAGACTATTTCAACGTTTTGAACAATAATTTCCAAAATGAACAACAATTCTCATATTCCCTGAAATTCATCATTTATATAAATATAAATAAGAAATTTTCCAAATATCCATTTATTTTGACACACAAAATAAATATAACAATATCATTCATAGATTTTCAGCCTCTAAAAAAAATCCTCAAATTCTAGGTTTTCTCACCAAAACTATACAACTCAAATCTTTTGAAAGAAAACTTTTCAAAATCATCTTTTCTTCAATCAACGAAGATCAAAACCCATAAGATCATTTTAAAAGAATAAGAGACAAATTCACTTTCAAAATCGTTCAACTTCTTGAATCAACAATCAGTTTTCAAAGCTATCGAAAGATGATTTCGAAAATCACATAGATCTTGCAAAAATATATATATAACTCTAAGAAAATCTCTACCTCAAGTTTTGAAGAAGAAATGAAATGAAACTTCAAAATTTACGGTGTCGAAACTCGATTTCCACTGCACACAACGAAGCCCTAAAGAAGTTACACAACTTTGATGAAGAACTTTGGTCTAACTCCCAATGGATTTGAAGGAATCAAAGAGAGAAGATGACTTCTAGAGAGAGAAGCTCTAGATTTGGAAATTTTGGAGAGTTTTAGAGAGAGAGAGAAAACTGAAAAAGTAATATGAAATCTCCCCTTACGGACTAATATAGCATGGTCCACTCGAGCGTGAAATACACTTTCCCATAAGTAATTTCGAATGCATTTTGCATTTTTGCTCTCGACCCTTGTAAGTTGACCGGGTCAAAATCAGGATCGCTACAACCTTCCCTCCTTAAAGAATTTTGTCCCCAAAATTTCAAATCAAACTACCCAAACAAAGAGGGTTTGTAGCGATCAAAACCACGCTATTTCATTTTAAAATCACAATATTAACTCTCAACCAAATTTTTTTTTCCTTCTATTTCCACCATGGTTATCTCATTAACAACAATCGTCCACATCAACCAAAACAAGAAGCAAAGAAATGACAATCCGTAACTACTTCATACTTAACATAACAACATACATAACAACATGTGATCAACAATTTTAACACATTTCTCTCAAACACTGGGGAATATTACAAGGAAAAACAACTTAAGCATTTTCAAATCACAATATTAACTCTCAACCAAATTTTTTTTTCCTTCTATTTCCACCATGGTTATCTCATTAACAACAATCGTCCACATCAACCAAAACAAGAAGCAAAGAAATGACAATCCGTAACTACTTCATACTTAACATAACAACATACATAACAACATGTGGTCAACAATTTTAACACATTTCTCTTAAACACTGGGGAATATTACAAGGAAAAACAACTTAAGCATTTTCAAACAAATCCGGATACTTAGAGTGGACTTCCGCCTCTCGTTCCCATGTCGCTTCTTCAACCCCATGGTGTCTCCACAACGCCTTCACCAACAGTATAGTTTTGCCCCGCAGCACTTGCTCTCGGATATCTAATATTTGAACCGGTCGTTCTTCATAAGAGGTATCCTCATTTACCTCCAAGTCAACCCAATCAAGCACATGAGAAGAGTCGGGTTCATACTTCCTAAGCATAGCTACATGAAACACATTGTAAACTCCCGAAAGTTGTAGTGGTAAAGCTAACTGGTATGCCACTTCCCCAATTCGCTCTAAGATCTCAAAAGGCTCAATGAACCTTAAAGATAATTTGCCACTCTTACCAAATCTCATCAAACCCCGCCTTGGTGAGATTTTTAGAAACACATGGTCACCGACTTCAAAATATAAAGGTCGCCTCCTCTTATCGGCATAACTCTTTTGTCAGCTTTGGGCTGTAGCTAACCTCTTCCGAATAAGAACAATTTTCTCGGTTGTCTCTCTAACAATTTACGGACCTAGTAACGGTGCAACACCTACTTCGGCCCAACAAACTAGTGATCTACAAGGTCGGCCATACAAGGCCTCAAATAGTGCCATCCCAATACTAGCTTGGTAACTATTATTGTAAGCAAACTCAATCAATGGTAAGTGTCTTTCCCAAGGCCCCTTAAAATCAAGGACACAAGCTCTAAGCATGTCCTTCAAAATCTGAATGATACATTCCGACAGTCCATCGATTTGAGGATGATAAGCGGTGCTAATAGTCAACTTAGTTCCCAACGCCTTTTGAAGGCTTTGCCATAACCGGGCAGTAAAACGAGGATCCCTGTTCGACACAATAGTCACAGGGACTCCATGAAGTTGAACTATCTCTCTAATGTACAACTCTACCAAGCGTTCAACTGAGTCGCTGGTGCACATCGGAATGAAATGGGTAGACTTAGTCAACTTATCAACAATCACCCAAATGGCGTCATTGCCTCGTTGTGTTCTAGGAAGCCCAACTACAAAATCCATGGTAACACGCTCCCATTTCCACTCGACTATCAGTAAAGGTTGTAAACCCGCTGGTCTTTGGTGTTTGGCCTTCACTTGTTGACAAGTAAGGCACTTCGATACAAATAAAGCAGCATCCCATTTCATACCCCTCCACTAAAACTGACGACTAAGATCATGATACATTTTAGTGCCTCCCAGGTGTACCGCAAGGCGTGAGTGATAGAACTCCCGAAGTACCTCCTCTCTATAAGATTCTGGTACAAACAAACGGTCTAGGTAACGTACATTCAGATTCGAGTGAACATTCAAACCTTTCTCTTCCCTCCCATTAGAAATCTTAACACGGATTGATTCCACATCACAGTGTCCTCGTTGTGCCTTTATAACCTTACTAACCAAGGTAAGTTGAGCATTCAAAGTAAACAAGGTAGCACTCTCTCCGGACTCACCCAAGTGCAAATCGAACTTGCCAATAACATCTAGCATATCCCATTCCTAAATGGCCACACTTGCCAAACTATTCACAGATTTTTGACTCAAAGCATCGGCCACTACATTGGCCTTCCCTGGATGATAGTGTAACTCAAAGTCATAATCCTCCATAAATTCCATCCATCTCTGTTGTCGTAAATTTAAGTCTTTTTGAGAAAACAAATACTTTAGACTCTTATGATCGGAGAAGACTTCAAACTTCTCACCGTATAAGTAATGCCTCCAAATTGACCAGGTCAAAATCAGGATCGCTACACGTACATTGAAGGCTTCTAGTACTTTTGCAGTCTTTTACAGACTGCTCGAGCGACTAAAGGCTCGCTTGAGCGAACAACTATTTTCAGCACATTTTGAAAAATTTCATTTAGTTCATATTTTTATTCTTATCTCTTCTCAAAGCATTTTAGACATAATTTATGACTCAGAACAGATTAATAAGCTACCAATCAACATAAATTAGTTAGTTAAAGAATGAATCATTGATCTAGTAGTAATTGTTTAAAAAACCAAGTAAAAGAAATCGGTCTATTTGGAAAAGAGGGATTTGGTAATGAAAAAAATATGTGAAATAAAAACCCGATTCATTTGAATAAAAAAGGAATACTTAGATAGAAAAAGACTACAAAAGTTAAGTTTGATCAAGGAAGTGATATTGTGTTTCAATGTGAATATGTTATGTATTTGTGTAGGTCACACGCTATTGTCTACCTGATCTGTCCAATCTGTTTGATCTGCTTCTGGAGCTATCTGTGAGTTATAACTTTGTAAAGCCACGTTCACGTTTAAGTATTTTCTTATATGATAAAATGTTATGTTTTGTATCAATGAATGATTGTCCATATATTGAAAAGTATTCGTGGCATCCTTAGCACATGGCTCTTGTCCGGGGAAAATAATACTGTGGTCTATAAGCACAAGGCCCTTGCCCGGGGGTAATAATACCGTGGTCTCATGGCCCTTGCCCAGGGGTAATAATATCGTGGTCTCATGGCCCTCGCCCGGGGGTAACAATACTGTGGCTTAAGCATGTTATCTATTCTTGGTACCGGAGGATCCTTTATGGAACTGGTCAAGTATAACCCTTAATGCTTTGTATTTGATCTGTTAGTGCTAATGGGTGTACCACGTATGATTTTATGCAAATCTGAATCTGAATATGAATATGAACATGTATATGAATCTGTTTCTGATTTGAAATCTGAATATGCATAAGACTTTGTTTTTGATAAAAATCTGTTTTTGATATAAACTTTGATTTCTGACTCTGTGATGGACATTATTCATTAAAATCCTTTACTTTGTTATTATTCACTAAGCTCTGGCTCACTATATTATTTATGTATGTAGGTTATCAAGCGCTTGACCAGGCCTACAGCTTCTGTCTGGATTCTATTTTTGTCAGCCAACCTATGTGCCTCCCATGAAGGTTTTGGATATGCCAAGTAGTTAAAGCTATGTGAATAAAGTTTAAATTTTTGTTTATTTTGTATTTAGGGCTAAGTCCCCTTTTTGTCTAATCTATATTTGATGATGTGTATATATATGTATATAAAGTTTAAAATTTTTCGGTTTTATATATGTCTGCACAGCTCAATGGACGTTACTTATTAGTATTTTGCTTCCGCTAGCCTCTGCATTATGTTAATCTGTCTCAGAGGCCTTCGGTAATCCCAAGATTACTAGCCGGTTATGATGCTAAACCTATAGGGGCAGGTTTGGGTCGTGACAGCAATACACCCAGTCTATGTAGTGTACTTGGAGAACCGTGGGGAGATGTTGCCGAAATTTCGTTAGAGATGGATAGAGCGGTATGAGTTACTTTTTACAATATAGGCTGTGCATTCCTAAATGAGAAAGTAGAATGAACCAACCTATTAGAGAAGAGTTAGAGGTGAATGGTGTCATGTCGCATGCATTATAAGGTACTTAATTGAGGTTAAGAATAATTAAAATGAAATGATATTTTTGAACTTTGTTGATTTGACAGTGACATTTGTAGTGTAAGACGAAGTCAGATGGATAAAAATTGGATAAATCAGCATATGTTACCCCAAGAGCATATAAAAGGGGTTAAGGAATTTGTTAAACTTGCATGTCGAAATAATCCTTTATCAAATGAAGTCACATGCCCATGTAAATGGTGTCGGAATGTCAAACTAGTAAAGAAAGACCTTTTGGAGGAACATTTAATGATCAATGGGTTTCTTCCAAGCTATAACGATGGATTTTTCACGGGGAAGATTTTCCGGCTTTTGTGCTATTGAATGAGAATATTAGTGATTCAAATGATGGCGATAAAGTCAGTGAAATGATATATGAGGGGTTGGGACTTCCTCCACCAAACTTGGTTTATCTTGCTAGTAATGAGATAGGAAGTTCTAACATCAAACTAGGCTCGGATAAGAAAACTGAAAGATTTTTCAATTTATTGAAGGAGGCCGAAAGAGAGTTGTATCTAGAGTGTCACAAGTTTTCAACGCTCTTATTTTTTGTTCGATTATTGCATATCAAGTGTCTTAGTGGATGGAACGACAAGTCTTTCACGATGTTACTTAAACTTTTGAAAGATGCATTCCCAAAAGGTGAAACTTTGCCAAAGTCGTTCTATACAACGAGGGTACTCCTTAGGGAATTCGGCCTCGATTATCATAAGGTACATGCATGCCCAAAAGATTGCTCACTATATTGGAAGGAGATAGCTAGTAGGGATGATTGCATAGTGTGTCCTAGATACAAACAGTTTGAGGGTGAGGAGAATGATTATAAAAAGAAGCAACAAAGAATTCCCCAAAAGATTGTGAGATACTTTCTTTTGATTCCAAGGGTTTAAAGATTGTTCATGTCATTCAAAACTGATTCATTAATGAGATGGCATGCAGAGGGCCGAATTGATGACGACAAAATGAGACATCTTGCTGACTTTCCTGTTTGGAAAATTTTTGATACTTTGTATCCCAATGTCAGACTAGGTTTAACATCGGATAGATTTAATACATTCAAGGCAATGAATGTTGCTCATAACAGTTAGCTAGTTATTGTGATGCCTTACAATTTGCCATCGTGGTTGTGCATAAAGCAACCTCATATGATGATGATATTGCTCATTGATGGTTCTTCTTTACCTGGCAATAACATTGATGTCTACTTGCACTTGTTAGTGGATGAACTGAATGAATTGTGGAAAAATGATGTTCAGACTTACGATGTAGAAACTAATCAAATGTTCCGAATACACGCGGTCTTATTGTGGACAATAAATGATTTTCCTGCATATGCAAATTTGTCTGGATGGAGCACGAAAGGTGCTTTAACTTGTCCTTCTTGTAACATACGTACTCGACATCGGTATTTGAAGAATGAAAGAAAAATTTGTTATATGGGAGACATTGCCGTTGGTTGAATGTGAGTCACAAATTTCGAAAAGATGGTGCGCCTTTTGATGGAACTTCTGAATTTGAATCATGTCCATCAATGAGCTTCTTCTACATTCCTTGCTATATATATATCTAAAAAAAAATTGTTAAATTTTTCGTCAAGTAAACAAAAAGATGATTCATAATTTGGTTTAAAAATTAATAAATTTGTTCATTTATGCAAAGAGTAATATGTGAAAGAAGAGAAAGAAAAGTATAAATATCTTTTTATTGTGATCCTAACCGTGTTAGTTTTGTAATTTTTTTTTTTTTTTGAAACTGAGGTGTCCAGCTTCTACCGCTGGATTGCGTCCACCGACTAATCCTCATAGGGGACAATCATAGCATCCCACCGCCGCGGCCCCCCGCTTAAATCCAAGAGGCTCCAGAGGGGAATCGAACCCGTGACCGTGCGCCTAATCCACACAGTCATGTGTGTGCCCTTACCACTGGGCCACCAAGGGGGTGGGTAATTTAGTTTTGTAATTTAGTTCAAAATCATAAGAAAGTAACGTGCTATAACCCTTATAGCACCCCTAATCTCCAGAGCTAAGGTGAATTTTACACCTATTTTATTGAATGAGAAACAATACCAAATGAATGTGGATTATCTAATGTCTAAGCATATATGGCAAAGGTTCATACGCAAGCAGTGACACCTAATTGATACCGAAGAAATTTTAAAAAATACACACATATTTTTTATCATTTAAGAATTAATATTTAATTTATTTTTTTACATTTTTTCTTTTATATTATAAATAATATATATTGTTATGCATCATGTGTTCTTTTGCATCATCACATAACCTTCTCTCTCTATCCCTACAGTTTATATTATATTATGGGCGCCTATTGTTTTGTTTTCATCGGTGTCAATGTCATGTTATATATATATATATCATTGAGTGCATCAACATTGTTATATTGATCACCAATCACGAAAACAAAGGCCAACCCGGAGAGAGATCATGGATTCAAAAAAAAGAAAAATTAATGTCCTAATGCTACCATTTTTGGCCCATGGTCACATAACTCCATTCCTAGAGCTAGCCAAGAAACTCGCACACAAAAACTTCTACATTTACTTGTGTTCCACACCAATCAATCTCAACTCCATCAAGAAAAGAATCACAGACAAGGACTCTCTCTCCATTGAATTAGTAGAAATCCACCTTCCATGCTTGCCTGAGCTTCCTCCTCATTACCACACAACCAATGGCCTCCCAATCCATCTCAATTCCACCCTCCAAACAGCCTTTAAGATGGCTAGCCCAAGCTTCTCCAACATCCTCAACACACTAAGCCCAGACCTTCTTATTTATGACTTCAACCTGCCTTGGGCACCGACCATTGCCTCCTCCTATGATATTCCGGCAGTTGATTTCATGCCTGTCGGAGTTTCGATGGCGACTTTCTCCCTTCACAAGTTTATGAAAGGAGGCGATGAATTTCCATTTCCAAAAATTCAGCTTCGGGGATTCCATGAAACGCAGTTTTGGAATTTGATCAACAAGATTGCTGTAGACAGAACCAAAAACAAAGAGGGTTCTGTAGAGGCCATGCAACGATCTTGCAACATTATTTTGTTCCACACTTTCAGAGAGCTTGAGGGACAGTATGTTGAGTATTTGTCGGCTTTAGCTGAGAAGAAGATTGTCCCTGTTGGTTCACTGGTTCGAGACATTGATGATGAGGACGAGAACACTGAGATAATGGAATGGCTTGACAACAAGGATGAGTCCTCCACTGTGTTTGTTTCCTTTGGGAGTGAATATTTTATGTCCAAGGAAGAGATTGAAGAGATAGCTCATGGTCTCGAGTTTAGCAATGTCAACTTCATATGGGTTGTTAGGTTTCCTATGGGAGACAAAGTTGTGCCTGAAGAAACATTGCCAAATGGGTTTATTGAGAGGGTAGGAGAGAGAGGAAGGGTTGTGGAGGGTTGGGCTCCACAGCCAAGAATTTTGGCCCATTCAAGCACTGGTGGCTTTGTGAGTCACTGTGGATGGAATTCAATAATGGAAAGTTTAAAATTTGGGGTTCCAATTGTAGCAATGCCAATGCATTTGGACCAGCCATTGAATGCTAGACTGGTGGAGGAGGTTGGTGTGGCTGTGGAGGTCAACAGAGACATCAATGGCAGACTCAATAGAGAAAACATAACACAAGTAATAAGGAAAGTTGTGTTGGAGAAAAGTGGGGAGGATATAAGAATTAAAGCAAGAGAATTTAGTGAGATGATAAGAATGAAAGGAGAGGAAGAGATAGATGAGGTGGTAAAAGAGTTGCATCAGCTTTGTAAGTGGAAATAATGTTTGGGTGATTAGAATAGTTTTAAAGATGCTTTGATCTGGTTTGATGCTTTTTATTTTTAAGAATTATTGTCATTTCTAAATGTTTCCACATACTATATGAGAATGTTGAGTGTTTTATACCATTTTTTTTTTTTTTGGTTGTTGTTGATAGTTCGCACCATTTATCATTTGACATTTATTAATTTATCTTCTAAAAGTTTAACTCTAAAAAGTATTGATTTTTATTATTTTAATTAATCAATATTAAATTGGACGATACACGTACACGTAAATCACTTATAGAAATATGATATCTGACATAAAATTACAATAGAGTTAATTTTAATTAATGTAATGATATTTTATATTATGATATGTGTTACAAAAGAATAATATCAATTTTAATTTAAATTATGTATTTTAATAATCTTAATCTCATCGTTGTATAAAAATGTTACTTGAATACTTATATATAATAAATTTAGTTAAATTATTTGTTTATTTTGATAATTTTAGTTTTATTGTGCTATGAAAATGTAATTATCATATAGCAAAATAAACACTCATTTAGATATTAAAAATAAGAGTTAAATTGGAAAGATAATTAGTAATGTATAAAACTAAAAGTGATTCTAATTATTTAATTTTATATTTATTTAGAAAAAGAAAATGTAGAAATAGAATTACACAAAATTTATTTAAAAGATTAAATATAAATATGTTGTGATTCGATTAAGAAGAAAATTCATAAATCAATTATGTAGAGTATTGGTTTAACCTTTAATATTCTTTTTGAATTATTCATACATATTGTATATAGGTATAAAAAAATTTAAATTAAGTATAAATATTTTGTAATAAATAATTTCATGTTCAAAAAAAAATCAAATATAAACGAATATTAAGACATCAATAAGATATACAAAAAAATAAAAAATATAAAAGAAAATTAATTTGATCCATGCGGTGTACATAAGTAAGCACATAATGTCTAATTTATTTTTTAATTGTATATTGATATAATTTTTTTAAATATCATAATAATTAAATTAAAATATCAATTATATATATGAAAAATAAATATTTCTCAAATTAATTTGATCCGTGTAGTGTACATAATTAAGTTCAATCCCTAGAGGATGGACTTCACGCTCCTCCATTAAGCATCCATTAAGTCCGAGGCATCTTTGATTTCATGTTTTTGAAAATTTGTTCCCTTTACTTCATTCCAGCTTGATAGTAGAAGGTCTAATATTGGTTCCATCAAATTTTTTTCACTTTTTTTTTTTTTTTTCCTAATTTTGGCATTGCCCGACATATTTTGATTTTTCAATCAACAAAATTTTTCTAATAGTAAACCCTCTTTATGTGGTATAGTTTGAAATTCATTTATGGCATTTTACATGGCCAAACGATGGCAATGACACAAATTTAGAAGATGCCGCATATTTATCTGTATAATGACACATTTGACATACAATTACGTAAACAATAAGATAAGCAAGCTCAATGGTACTTGGAATACAGAAGATAAAGAGTAAAAAATCTCAATAAGTATCATTGCTTATTGTAGGTATATAAAAAAAAATTAAAAATTTAAAAAATCTACTATACAACATCTAACTTTTTTGTAAAGAAAATTATAACACAATACTTTTAAAGTAAGCAAAAGATAATGTAATCAAATTATTGTTATACATGAAAAAAAAACACAAAGAAAAGAGGATTCTATTTTGATTTATTATTAGATTTATTTTAAGATTTTTTTAAAATTACAAAATAAAACACAAAACGATGTCTTTTGTGAATTTGAATTGGATTTTTTACGTGATAGACATCTGATTGAGTGAATTGTGGGTGATGGATATGCATGAGTAAATCGTATGAATAAAACTTGTAGTGTATTTTTTCTTTTTTTAATAATCTGATAGACATTGGATATTTATAATTTGTATACTATAAGTTTTTAATTTATTTAAGTTATAGATATTTGAGAGTTTTTTTTTTCTAATAATATGATAGACATTGGATATTTGTAATTTATATATGAATATATACATTTTGTGGGTTTATATATATTTTTTATTAATTTATTTACGTGGTTATGTGATACTTAAGTTACAAATAATTGTGAGTTTTTTTTTTTTTTTTTTTAAATAACGTGATAGACATTGGATAGATATTTGTAGGTTTATATATTTTTTTATTAATTTATTTAATTGAGGGTGAGATTTATTTTAATTTATTTAAGTTATGTGATAGACATCTGACTTTCTTGTAGGTGAACTACTTTTGATATGAAAAGGAGAGGATTTATAAAAGTCTAAGAAGATATCAATACTGTTATATGAGAATAAACAAATTAAATTGAAGAACAAAAGCAAACCCCAAATTAAAAAGCAAGCAAACCCAAACCCAAGCTATGCAATATGTAATAATGGAAAAGATAAAAAGATGTGTAGATAAATTGAAAAATATTGAGAAAAATAAATATATAACACAAAAGTAATGAACACTGGAAAAATGCATATAAAGTAAAATAATATTAGGAGTATAAAAATGAAGAAGATGAAAAGATGTGTAGATAAATTGAAAAATATTGATAAAAAGAAAAAAAACGTGATAGACATTGGATAGATATTTGTAGGTTATATATTTTTTTATAATTTATTTAATTGAGAGTGAGATTTATTTTAATTTATTTAAGTTATGTGATAGACATCTGATTTTCTTGAATTAAAGGTAAACTACTTTTGATATGAAAAGGTGAGGATTTATAAAAGTCTAAGAAGATATCAATACTGTTATATGAGAATAAACAAATTAAATTGAAGAACAAAAGCAAACCATAAATTAAAAAGCAAGCAAACCTGTTGGCACCATAAATCTATAATTTTTATTATTATTTATATAATTGCAGGACATGTGACATCCTCCTACTTATTTGGAGGTTATGAGAAGTTATGAAATGTGAAAATATGATGGAGAATAAAATGGAGAACATAGAGCATGAATTGGAAGTTAAAAGAAGTTATGAAGACATAGAGAGATATGTGGTATTGTGGGAATGAAAATGAAAGAGTGTGTAGTTTTAGGTGGTTATTGGATAGTTATTGCTGTAAGTTTTTTCTTACAAATATTTGCCTATAAATCGCCATTCATGACTATATTGTAAGAGATCCAGAATTCAAATCAAAGACAATTGATTTCAATATTTTTTGTCATTTTCCTTATCTTAGGAGTAGTTTAATATAGATTTATATTTCGAAACATTTATTTTCAGCATTTTCTTTTCAAAGCATTTTATGCACTTCCTTTTCGAAGTATAGGAGTAGAGGTAAGTAATTATTGCTTTAATTGTTCACTCAATCGTCTTTCTCCGTCTCCCTCATTCTTTTTCTAATTTTTCTTTTCTCTATACTTGGCAATTTTGAAGTCCTCTTTGTTGAGGCAAAAGAACCACCAAAGCAATCGCTTGATAATTGGCTTGAATATAATCTGTAAGGATTTTTCAATCCTTGCTAGCACGCTCGTATTTATAATATTTTTCTTCGTAAGAAAAATAAGCCAACAATTTTTGGCACTCCCAGTAGGGCTGCCAAGTGTAAGAAATGACAAACGATTTGGATTTCGCCATTCGAACTTGTCAATATGAAATATATTGACGTGAAAGAAAAATTTTGGATCTTCAAGAAAAGATCCATTTTCTTAATGAATTTTTTTTTTTCAAGTTGTTTCTTGTAAGAAAAATAAGCCAACAATTTTTGGCACTCCCAGTAGGGCTGCCAAGTGTAAGAAATGACAAACGATTTGGATTTCGCCATTCGAACTTGTCAATATGAAATATATTGGCGTGAAAGAAAAATTTTGGATCTTCAAGAAAAGATCTATTTTCTTAATGAATTTTTTTTTTCAAGTTGTTTCTTCATTACCATATTATCTAGTAAAAGAAAAAAACACACCACTTAATTGGAGTTACTCATCAACTTGACATGGAATTTGCCAATGGAGACATGAGTTATTAACCCTTTTTGTCAAGTCTTTAATGACCGAATTTTGTGGGGTTTTACAAAATGTTTTTAAGTCATTTGTGACTGAAATTAGTGAAAATATAATTTTATCAATGGCTCAAGGGGGTCGAAAAATCCATTTTTAAAAAGCCAACTTATGAAAATAACTTTGATAAAAAGCATGTTGTTGAGCCAAGCATGGTTAAAAATGATGTTCCATATAGAGCTCAGGGGGTTGAAAAACACATTCTTAGAGAGTCAAATCATGGAAACAACATGTCTATGAAAGATTTTCACAAGCCATTAATGGCTAAAATGGAACAACCCATTAGGCCAAAAAATGATGAAACTCACATTGAAGGTTTTCATAAGTCGTTAGTGGCTAAAATAGAAAAACAACCCCATTTGTCAATAAATGATGAAAATTATTTGGCTAAAGAACATGTTCTCAACCCAAACATGGCTAAGAATAATAAACAATTTAATGTTCATGAATCTGAATTTTTTGAAATTGTTCAAAATGTCAAGTTGTTTGAATTTTTAAAGCCATCTTGTACTATGGTTCTTGGTGTTCAAAACCTACTTTGGATTTGTGGATCACACCAAAAAATAATTCTGATGATGTGGCTAATAAAATTAACAAATTGTTCTTGTGAGTTCGAAGCATTAAGAACAGGGGATGACCATTTAAAATGCATGAACTTGGCTAGGAAAAGCCTATGCATTTAAATAAGTGGTTGAGAATGGCTTATATTTTCAAATTGATGGCCAGTTGTTTGTATGTACATAATCAAAGCATCGAAGATACATTTGAAGCATCAAAAGTTGTTTCGAAGGTTGATTACTTCACCTTCGAAGCTGTATAAAACTTTGAAGATACATTCGAAGTATCAAGAGTTGTTTTAAAAGCTGATTACTTCACCTTCGAAACTGTATAAAGCTTCGAAGATACATTCGAAGCATCAAGCCTAACCTTGAAACTTTATTGTAAGTATGATCATCCTATATCAATGCTTCCAACTTTCAAGGGGTGATGTTGTTCTTTCAAAGTTGTGCCGCAAGACATTCGAACGATAAATTTGGTGTTTTATACCACATTCGAAGCTTGTTATTGGTCTTCTACTCATAATTTC